GATTTTCCACTGCTGCTCCACTCCATCCCCACGTCTCGCCAAGACACTCAAGCTCCACCACTTGAACTCTTCGGAAGTTACCGAGACAGCAAGATCCCGCCCTACCGACGGGTACACAAGGTGAGGAAAGTTCAGCAGAACACGGATCATCGGGGGACCCCCTCCGTTAGTCGGTGTCTGGGCGCAGTTGGCTCAGCTTTGTCACCAGGTGCTTAGGGACAACGAAGTGGTAGTCAAACGGTTATGTTCGGACGTAGGCTCGTTGACTGCGCGCAGCCCGTGCGCCGATGAAGTCGTCCGTCATGGCAGTAGGGTAAGTTGCCGGAAGTGATCGAACGTACTCGACGTCATGTCTATTGTTTGCCCACTCCAGTACTTGTGAAAGTACAGGTGCACATTTGTCGAAAGTGTAATAGCTGCTAGTCATTGTGGCTTCGCCACCGGTTTTATCCGCGCCTGTTTCACCTTCTTTCGCTGATTGTACCGGGGTTTAGCTTTAGGTAGCTGAAGTACTTTAATATCGTCGTTTTTTTTCGCGCATGTGTTTTTGATGCAGCCTTTGTCTTTGTTTGTTCAATTTCCTTTGTCAGTAGCACTTTTTGCTCAGACGGCGTAAACCCGACTCAGACGAATCCAGTTTTGTCTCCCATGTTTGCGTCAAAGTTAGGAGTTTGGTGTTGCAGCTTGTGCTGGTTGATTTACGGCTTGTGGTGCTTGTTTTGGAATCCGACTTCACGAAATGTTGTCGCTCGTGGTCATGGGGGGCTGTACATTGCCTCCCGCAACTAGTAGACCGTGTTCAGCTTGCTCCATGTCACGAATCATTGCCATTGTGTCGATGAGATCAGCTGGATCAATGTCAGATCCTGTATCACTCTCGTTAGCATCACCAAGAGCCGCAGTATCGTCCGTGCTATCGTCGGGCATCGTTATCGCATCCGACGTGTATGTTGGTAGCTTTTGCATGCCATTGCGAACTATCTCTTTCCACGATTGCAGTGCTGGGTAGAATGCTGGACTGCTTAATCCGGCAAGGTACTCAATTACTGGCTCGAACGCAGCTTTTGCATAGCAGTACTTCTCTTTCGATGATAACACCACCACATTTGCCTGTTCACGTCGCCTCAGCTTAACATATACAACCCGCGGCTTTTTAGTCCGAGATCGCAGTCCACTCCGCTCAACCCCACGCGGCGGTGGTACTTCCGGGTTCACACCTTGTGTTGCCGAAAAATCGTCTTGTGCTGCTTTCCATACTTCTTGTGTTGTTTCGGTTTCTTGCTCTGTTTCGTAAACTTCACTGACGTCGGATGGCTGCGTAGCGCCGTCGTGGAGATGCATTGACCCGAATCTTTCATCGCTGCCTGCACTGTCTGGAGCATGCATACACCATCTGCAAATTCTTGATCCATATTCGCCATCGCCAGCATATCCCAGCGCTTAGGTATAGTTGATACTGGCAGACTCTCAAATTGATGAACATTGGCAGCGATGTACATCAAATGTTGACATGGTAGATTGTAGCAGCAGTAGAACAGACACGAACATGACCACTGAAAGTCGTTGCATTGATGTGTAAGCTCCCCCGTTCGCACTTCCCACTCACCAACATCAGAACCACGCTTAATGCATGTTGTCGCAGCACTGAATACCATAAAGTAGCCCCATTGCGTGCGTACGCTAGCCAGCATTGTGTCGCTCAGGTGCTTGGACACTAGAGAGAGAAATCCGGGAACGCCATCGAGCTGTCGCGACCTTGACGTATGCTTGTGCATAGTGGTAATGAGATGGCTTGTTATGGTAGCCTGGTGAGATAGTAGTCCACTCGCTGCTGAGTCAAGTCGGGGGCGCTTCCCCAGCAGAAGTTTTAGCTGGTTCCAGTTTGACTCGATCCTGTTCGTCGTCGTGTTACCGGCCGTGAATGATTTGCCCCTGACGTGGTCTGCCCACATTCCAACACAAGATTCCCAATTCGCCCCGAAATATTTCTGCAGCGCTGGGCATTCTAGCTTACAAATTTGTCTGAACGTGGATACTTCTGAGTCGAACGTCGCTTTGGTTTTACTGTTTTCAGCAACACAACCGGCAACATATAGTTAACAACACAATAAACAACACAAGCTAGCAACACAACAAACAACAGTGCGATGTTGTAAAGACGATTGCGGTCCAGTCGTTCTTCGATGATCGTCGTATCCAGTGTTCCAAACAACGCCCAGTTATTTCTGTAGTCGACGCTGTTCCGGACACTAGTCGGCGTTTGATCTGAGATACCTTCGAGTTGAGGAAAGCGCTCATGAAATCGGCAACATCATCCCGTTCTATGATCTCTGCCATTGATCGATCTTTTACGACGACTTCCGGATGACCTACCGGAATTCCCACCTGCTGCCGAGCAACAACCCATTCGAATCGGCTTTGCCATCCTCAGGCGAGAAGGTTGGTGCTAGGCCTCGTCACTTAGGTCGACTGGGGACGCCTTCCTTGAAATCGTTAGCCCATTTACAAAGGGTGTTAGCCGATCGTCGTACGTTCCACCGCGCTGGACTTGCTTTCGCCATTCAGAACACTTTTTATAGCGTTTTTTATTTCACCCTCCGTGTAACAATCGCGTATTTCAGTCATTTAGGCTGAAACTAATGTGAAGGTAACTATTGCCAAATGAAGACATAGTTTTATTGTGGTGGACGCTTTCTGAGGTTTCAGCTAGTCAAACAAGCTGGATCATTCATTGGTTAAAATATGATTCTACTAAACTGGCGCGGTACATTAGCATGCAAAATTAAAACTCGGTTTTGTAAGATAATATCAATCATCGATTACATTTGAAATGTGTTATATATGTGTTCTGTTAGATATTCCACCGTTACAGGCTTGTTTGAGCGCCCATCTCTCCGCATTACAGCTCGAGTAGTGATACGGATGGGTCGGTAATTGTATAGATGTACTAGTAGCGACTCCCCCGCGCATTAAGTCAGGGCTACAGATGGCTTGGCTCTTGTATTGATTTACTAGTAATGCCCTCTCACCATATTGTTGCTTTTGGGGTTCCAGTAAATGCTATCGGTTGCTCGGTATTGAAACCAATATACCAGTGAAGGGGCGATGTCACTTCCGATAGACCACCGAATTAATCCTTGTTCAGTATCCTATACCGTTTTCTATCCTAGTAAAATGACAGCCTTAATTTTCAGCTTAGACAGATGAATGTGCAGGGCGATGCTAAAAAGGCATTTCATTGATAGCTATCCAACCGTGCCATTACAGGCAAATTGAGCGAAATTTTGGCACGGTGCAGCTCGGAGCTTTAGAGCATAACAGCTAGAAAACAATTACGCGGGAAATACGTGATGTGGGACGGCTACATGCGCTTACAATACTAGATTTACGCATCAGGTTCTTCGCTCCGAGGAATGCTCGAGGTGCCCAACTGCTATACGTCTGGGTCGTCCGAATCACCCGATTCCTCACGCGACAACTCTTCCGAGGCGCTGCAGCCATCCCCGTTGG